AATAAATCTCAAACTCTAGTGAAACATCAAATCCTTTCTGTTGTACCATGGTTGTACAGTCCATCCATATTTCTTGAGATAAAAAATAGGTACCCATTCACAAAAACGCTTGTAAATTCAAGGATCTTTCTCGCACAGTATTACGTAGATCTATTACACAGCGCCGAAACATGTCAGAATACACTCCGTCTTCCCTCTCGTCAAAAACGCCGTCCGTGCAAGTCATGTGTGCTTCCAAATAAGGAAGTCCGCGGAAACCGCTGGCAGCTCGGGCGATCGCGATCTTCGGCCTGCATCGGCGCGTGTGACGTCATGATCGGGCTCATTTGTATGCAGGCGTCTGCCTTTTGACTACACGGACTACAAAGGACGCCGCCAGAGAGCGTAAACCCAGATGCCGCGGGTGAAACTGCACATCAAGTAAATACGAAGTTTGGCTGGTAAAAAAAAGAAATTAAAATTAAGATCTCAGTTGATTGCCACTTTCGAAATTTTTGCAAATTATGACATTTTCGAAAACATGCTACTCAAGTACGTACATTTTTATAATAATTTCAGAATATTTATAATATTTTCAAAAATAAAAACATTGAGAAAATATTAAAGTACTATTTTAAAAAACACGCGGTGACTTGGAATGGACTCTATAAGAGCGCACGTACAGCACATGAATCCAGATAAAATCTATCAAAAGTTGTAAGACATAAAAGGACATACTACTTGTGATGAAAGCTCCTTGTATAAAGTCAGTAGGAACAAAGATCACTGGATACCGGTGATCATTATCTAGTCTACCGAAGCGATGCTTTTCTCCACCGCTGCAAATTTTACATGCCCGGTCAAGCGGTTGTTGACCTTATATAATAGAAAGCAGGACAATATAGTTTACGTGCGCTCTTGATCGATACGCAAAAACCATATGTATATCATATACATTATCATTATGTGCATAACATAGCATGCTCTGTGGCTGTGTGTATATTCTGTAAGGGTAGGAATAGGCTATCAAACCCAAACCTTTTTGCAGGTACGGGATTGTCAGAAAAGTGTTTATGAAAGCCGTTATGAACCCCCAATGCTACAGATATAGGCCTGGCGTGCTTGTGGATGTTGTCCGTGTGCTGGTTCGCAAACAGGCCACGGTCACGAGGTCTGGTTTATAGATGTGTTGTCCGCCACACACGTTTGCAGGGACACCAACATGCATCCAAGGTTGATAAATAAATAAATAGAGTGACCACAGGTACACTCGCCAGAAACGTACAGAACGACCTTATAGAGGTAAAGTTGATCCGCGAAGACCAGGCGGTTCCACAAGTGTCATCTGTTGTTGTTCTGTCGAATTGAACGTGTTGCGGTGCGTAGATAAGAGCTCCTTGGTGACATTCGTTGTTTCCGATTCCGAATGCAGAAATGTATGTCCAGATACTAATATTTGCTATACACTTGATCTGGCCTGTCGTTCACAATTGACTTTGTCAGTGACTATGTCTTTACATAGCCTCTACCAGACTCACAACGTTAACGCTGGCTATTTATAGTAGAATATTTGCCAGGGGAGTTTGACCGCCTTGTAGGACCTAGTACTAGGTTTGACTGGCCTTCGGAGGGAAAGATTTATAAGGGGGTCATTTAACTACCTCCTCGCGGCCGGACTCCCTTGGCCAATTTTAATCTCTTTTTTCCCCGAACTCTACGATCCGTATTCCCGTAGAAAGGCCTGGTGGATGCTAGTTTTTATATGCCTCAAATCGCCGCGTCACAATGTAACGTTGGATGCACTTTTGTCCATTTTTGTTGGCACATATTTTTCTTTGTAGCGGTTTTAGGACAAACAGTAAAAGGAAACACAACAGAAGAAGAAGAAAGACACACATTATTTTTATAATCTTCCATGGGTTTCATCGTTATAGTAAATAAATGGAACCCGTCATTTCTTTTCGGCAGCGTTTTGGAATTTGAAAAGGCTTGCGCTGTGGACATGTGCTCATGTTGGTGATATAAGGGGCTTTACGTTTTCAGGTTTCGGGGAAGGTTTCTGTTTGTTTACACCGCCGCTACAACAACAAGCTTGACCCCTTTCGCACCATCCCATACAGTGACCCTGGCCAGATGGCCGGAGGTTGCCTCGCACAAGTTGTTGTGGTCAGCAGAAATGTAGTTAGATAATCGTATTCATTGTCTTGGCCAATCAGGCGTAATTGCTTACAATTAGCAATATTTAATCCCTCCCATATATTCCATAAATGGACAGAGCTAGCAAAACATGTTAATAAGGATGCGTCCTCGTATAAATATCACCGCGACCTACTCGCAGACTCATTACGCACGGAAAGAAACCCCACGTCCAACGGCGGCGTGACCCCACGACCAGGCCGCGGGACGTGGAGCGCGGGTAGCCCGGCCAATCTGGAGCAGCGCACGGGCGTAGAATGCAGGCAGCCCCGGCCAACAGCGCGCGGGCGTGGAAAGCGGGTGTCCCGCGGCCCGGTCAACCCTCGCCGGAGCAGCACGCACACTTGGAAGGCCCCCGGATTTTAGTCGTGCAGGCACGGAGGTAAGCCCAAACTTGAGTAGGTTGAGACTGTTCTTTTAATATTGGAACCATGCCATATGTAGTGTGTATTTGTGTCCACGGTCTTGGTTCATGTTGCCCTCTTACGTGTACCATCAAACGGTGTATTATTTTGGTTTAAAGTTTTTTTGTGTAATGTTATGATTTTTTTGTGTGCATGTAACATGTAAGTTGTTCCATTTCGATCAGTCCGTTTTTCCATGCAGTCGTTCAGGCTAGGTGACATTGTCTCTGAGCGGCCCCACGTTCTGCTCGGGTACCGTCTCTTATTTTGAAATTTAAAGAATTGTTGTTCACACCGGCGTCCTGACAGTTCTGATACCGTTTCGTCCAAATGTTTTCCTTCGCTGTCAATCGTTGTTGTAAAGCTTGCGTAAATAACTCATTAATTTCGTTTCTACACTACGTATGATAACCCTTTATACTATTCTAAATGACGTACCCACTAAACTTAGCCTGTTGCGATTCTCTGGCTTAAAGTAAGTGTTGCCCCCAGCTTCTGACAACAGTGATTTTCCCCACAGTTCCCGACAATGTCAACGTGAAAAGTTCTAGTGGTTTGGGGGAAATTGGGTCACAGAGTAAAGATGAAAACATTCGCCTTTACATTTGTTGAGGATGTAGAACTGGTTTCTCAATAAGATTATACAAGAAGAAGCGCAGGCGGGCGTCCATGACCGTAGATATACCGGGGAGGCTACGTATATACGGTGCTAGGGCGAATAATCGTTCCGTTGTATTTACAATCAGTTCCTTGACTCTGCTTCATACGTTTTGAGACTG